CCCCAAAACCCCAAAACCCCAAAACCCCAAAACCCCATTCAAAACTCGCCAAAATAAATATATATTGTAAATGCCTGCCATTAGCTTAGCCTCATGAGATATATTGACTACAGATATTCACAGACGAAATCATTAAGCAAGGTGTCTCCCATATTCTCGTAGTAACTCTCCAGTACTCTTCTCAAATGAAGTCGGCGGGCTGGACCATAGCTCTTCAAAGGTAACATGGTGTCTTTGGAACTCATTATCTTCAAAGACTTCGTCCACTTTGATAATTTGGATTCCCCAACTGGGCGAGCTGAGTCTTGGTCTGGTTCAGACTCTCCTGAAGTCTCCTGAGGTGAGTCAGTTTCTGGGACTAGAGGCTTTGGTGGAGAATCAGGGTTTAGTTGGGGCTCACGGGCTTTTATTTGAGAGATTAGGGATGCTGTCAAAGGGACATACGTATATGTAAAGGGGCATAAAAGCTTGATGGGATGCATACAGATCTTGTATTGACTTCTAGGACTGTTATAGAGATACTCTGACATGTAATAATATCTTCAGTTGTTATTGAACTCCTTTCTTATTTTTCGCATATATTCCATCTCCCTCACTGCTGTCACGTGGCCCAGACAGAGACCACTATAAGCAGGGTCATAGAAAGTTAGCTCTGAACAAATGTTATGCTCTGTGATGTCCAATATACTACACGCAACTAGTTTGCCATCAATGCGATGGTGCATGTAGTAGGTTCCATAATACTCTGGATAAATTCCCTCATCTTTAAAAACTCTACCTTCATCTCTTCTTGTTTCATCCTTGACAGTTTTGGTGCTTCTGAAAGCTGGATCTTTAGGGTCGAACAAGCAGCTATTGGTTCTCTGCTCCATAAAGTCAGTTTTAGTTTTAACTTCATCAAACCTGGCATATTGAAACTTCTGATAGAGATCCAAAACTTCTTGGTAGCAAATACATCTATGCAAAGATACAGTGTATTTGTGAGCTCTTTCTGACTCTTTTGTGGTGTTTGGTACAAATTCATCAAAGAAGTCGGTGTAGGGTCTGGAGTTACCAGCCTCAATAGCGATCTTTTGCTCTTCTCCAGTTTCAATGTATCCTATCTCTCCAAATTCATTCGGCTGAGGTTTCTCATCTTTTTGTGGTATATCTTGAGCTTGCTGATCAGTTCTATATCAATTATTAGGCTAGGAATTGATCAGTTATCTTAATAGGCAAGCTGATGCTTTGTTTTAGTTTTCATACTTTAACTAAAGACTAAGAAAGGAAAATTGTTTCCATGATACCATACAAAATCGTTAAGTATTAATAGTAAATATCTTACGTTTGTGTATCCTGGCCTTTTTTGTTAGCTAATTCCTCTAAAAATTAGTATGACTTAGTTACCTTGCTCAGGCTTAGGAACGACTACTTCAGTTTTTAGCTCAAGTTCTCTCTCTCCATTGAGATATTGATTGAACCTCTTCATGTGCTTTTTCTGTTGCTTTGAGATTTTGAACTCCAGACTGTCAAGTCTGGTGGTGTAAAAGGGGCATCATGAGTTTATGGTATCAGGCTTGAATAAGTGCCTTGCACAGTCTTTTATCCAACCAAGATCAAGTAGCTTTTCGTAGTCATCAGTTCTTAGCTTAGTTGTAGTTAGCACTGTAATATGTAATTTATTCTCTCCTATGTTTTTGCAATAAGGACAACTAACAGGATCATTACTCAGTCTGTTCCACTTAATATTAAGGACAGATTTCGAGTTAACTTCAGAGTCTTCTGGGATTGCAGGAGGACTAAGGGTAAGGCACAAAGCTTACGTTTCAGACAGGGATTCCATCTTGAGCTTATTTGTAATAAAAGTCAGGAAAGGAGTTTGAAAGGGGTTTTGGGGTTTTGGGGTTTTGGGG